AATTAAGAAGGAAATATGGCGGCAGGGGCTAAAAGCAGAAATGGAAAAGGAAGCTGCTACACTGAGCTTTCAGGGTGGAGGAAGGACCCATGAGCTGGGAAATACAGCAGGGCTGAGAAGCTGGCAAGGCTAGGACACAAATTCCCCTCGAGCTTCCGGGATGAAACACATCCCTTCAGATACCTGGATTTTTCAACCCTGATCTGAAACGCTCTAAGATCATACATGTGTATGATTTTAAACCAATACATTTTTGATGAAACAGAAACTCATACAAGTACGAAAACATAGCCATCCATCATTCTTCTATGAAAAGTTAGGGGTTTTTCCTGAGCGTTCCCCAGGCATTGGACAGGAGTAGCTCTGACCAGTTTCTGAGTCTGCCAGCCAGGGCTACTCCCCCCAAGCCCACCCTAATCTGCCTCCACCAGCACCAGCTGTTGGGTGCTGCTTGGAGATCATGTAGTTCCTCTCTTTCTCACATGAATATTTCAATATTCAGTGTACCCGGGCTTCCAGGACTGGCACAGTATGCAGTACTGGGGATCGAACTCAGGACTTGTACTTGCCAGGCAGGAACTTAGAGATCGCCGAGCTATCTCCCCAGCATAGGACCAAGAATTTTTGACCTATATTTTTCTCTTATTTTGTCCTTCATAGAGATGAGAATGAATAAACAAGAAGTTTTCTATCAGGTTTTTCTTAGTTAAATAACCTTGTTATTCCCATCTTTAGTATCTTGTTAGAGGTTTATAAAACCTTTACCTACTTGGGATGCTAAAGTCTATCTTTATATTTTTGGAGCAGCTCTGGGTTTGATCTCCAGCACAAAAACAAACAGACAAAAAGCAACTTAGCAAGACCAAAGCAAAAAATTGGAAAAAGGGTTTGTGGAAGGTAAGGTTGTAGTTCAGTACAAATGCCCTGGGTTCAATCCCCAGCATTACAAAAAATAGATAGATAGATCGATAGATAGATCGATAGATCGATAGATAGATAGATAGATAGAGTCAAATCTACTAGACGAAAGTACACTAATCTTTCTTAATACACAAAATTTGTAAATGTTGCTTATGCTTTGGGAAACAAAAAGTGTAAGCAAAGAGGCAGGAAACTGAGTTAAGCCCGGGTTCTGCTCCCCACTGTGGGACCTCTCTGGGTCTCAGTGACACTTATCTACCAAACAAAGAGCTCAAACTAAACCTCCAAATGAAGCCTGAAGTATCTGGCTAACTCTACTGAAAAAGTAATCACTACTTGTGGAACAACTCCTAAGTACCGCCCATCAGCTCTTCCAGAGAAAATAACATAGGGGACATGGAGGCTCATTTAGACTAGCAATCCATGATGGCACATGTATGCACTGAGATGCAGAGGTATGCGGTGAGAGTTGTGCAGATTCCATGGATAAGGAAGGCAAAAGGAAGAAGCAGTGGGGACACAGGAGGATCTGAGAGGTCCTGGGGAGCCCCTGAAGCTTTCTGAAAGGCTCACTTGATCTCCTGCCTCAATTATTTCAGGAGCCATCAGCCTGTGACTTGTACCCTTTTGTGACTGTTAGCAAGCTGATTCATTCATTTTATATTTCCAGCCTCTTGTAGCACAACAACCAGCATTGAACAGCACAGCAAAGCATGTGTGCTGGGTAATGAGTGAATGTCCCCCAGTCCCTTCTTAATGGTCCCTGGTGCTCCATCCTGGAGCACTTGCATCCCATGATGTGACTGTGAAGTTGTAAAAACAGCAGTCCTGCTGCCTCGAGGAGATCTCAGGGGGACTGGACAAGGGTTTCCCAGACAGAAATGAAAGCCTGAACTAGTGACAGCAGTGGGAATGGAAAGGAGAACGTACCTGACCCTAGCCTGGAAGAGAACTAACATACGCTGGACTTAGCCAAAGGAATATCTTACTGGATTCTTTCCTATCTTCCTTTAGAATAATTCAATAATAATCTGTTACATCATACTGGAAGATCTGCCTCATAGCTCCAGTTAAGCACAAACCATTATTGCTGCAAGTCCCTCCACAAAAGTACCTTGATTTGATTTTTCTCCTTTAGGATCTAGCATTTCAGTCAAAGTCAAGTAATACTTTAAGGAATCAGAGAAAGACAATTGAAAAGAAAAACCCAAGGAACTGTATTTACCATTTTATGAAAACTTAACATACTACTCAAACTTATAAACATTTTTTTGAAACCTGTGTCAGAGAAGTGTTTGATAAAATCATATTGACCACCTCTAATTCAAAACTTTAATTGATTTCCCAAAAACAGCTTGGATGATGAAGAGAATCAAAGCAAAGCAGAGGGCCTTTGGATAACCAAACCCCACACAGCACTCCAATGGGTTATCCTGACGACACGCCCCCTCCTACGGTACCCAAGATCTCACTGTGTATTCCTCTTCCGTAGGAATGCACGATAGCATCACTATTTTATTTTTATGGTTAGCATGCTTACAAATTAATAAATACGATCCTTACAGTTTTAAAATATCAGATGATTAACATTTTCAGAAATGGACCAAACAGTTCTTATGAAATACAGTACAAATTTCGTTTGATACCTAATATAAAAATATGAGATACAACTCAAAGTTTTTTTTTAAAATCTCTAGATTTATATTTCATACTTCAGTGTATTACCTGGGGTATTCAAATGCTGCTAGCTACCTTTTAATGAGCACCTGAGCTGTCATTTTAAATAACAGACTGACAATTATCATCTATAAGTTGATATTTCCCTGAAAGCCATCTGAGAAGAATGTAATATAGTCAAGAATAGAAACTCATTTATGAAAAATTACACTATTTTATAATACTGGCACAATATTATCAAAAATAACATAGAATTATAATTTTTAAAAATCCACAGATGCCAAAATAGATGTTCTTAATAAGAAGCAGAACTCTACAAAAATCTATGCAAGCACATCGGTCACCTGTTGTCACAGGTGATTTGGTCTACTGAAGCAAGAAGGAGATAATTATATACATAACCAAGATAGAATTTATAAGACAAATAAACTAAATAATTAGGTCACCCTAGAATAATCGTATCATTATAAATCATACATTACAGCATTCTGGAAACTTTATTTTTAAACACTGAAAGTTTTTTAAGGTACCTCTTCCACAAAGCTGTCTTTTTTCTCCAGCATTTCTCGGAGTGTCTGAAGAATTTTGATGCACAGCTTTTCTTCTTTCTCCATGAGTTTCTTTGTATGATTAATCAACCTTAAAACAAAACATCAAACTTTAGCAAGAGCAGGGATTTGAAGCTACATGCAAACATCATATGCTAGAAGAAAAAAAATCATATTTTATTTAAGAATATGAAGTAAACCAGAAATGTTTCTAAATTATGCTTCTGTTTATACGTTTTGTATAATAAAAAAAAAATGTTCTCTGGGTGAGAGGAAGGTACCACCAATGACAGTGCCACGAAAACAAAGCAGAAGGATGAGAAGGTGAATGATGACTAAGACACGTGGTAGGGTACGGGTCTAAGAAGCAGTGCAGAAGTGGCACGGCCAGTCTGGTCAACGATGCCATGGGACACAGAGACAAGGAAGATGGGCAGATCACAGGCTAATTCCTGGCTGCTGAGACTTTTAAATGACATCGATTTCATATGAAAGGAGTGGCCCCCAGTGAAGGTTATTATAACGTCAGTCATAACAGCGATTTCCTTGTAAACCTACTCAGTCTTGATAATTTGCCACATATTCCCGTGGTCAGGTCCAGCAGGCAGAAAGAGTAAGGGTTCGGAAGCTCTCTTTGCAAGACAAATGAAACCTTCCTCTCAAAACTTCTACCCTGGGCTCTTTCCCGTGAGTCTTTGGGAACAGTTTTGCTGGCCAATGGAAATTTCTTTGGGGGTTTTTTTCTTTCTTCTTACAGTATTTTCATTTTCTTTAAGCTCAGTATGAGCCTGCATAATATTTTGTGTCTAATAGTACAAATCATTTTTAGTATGTTTTAGTAAAATAGCATAACTTGATCTTCAGTGAAACAAACTCTCAAGTGATTCAATTTAATTACTTGAGGAATCTCTTTGAATATGGACCGTCGGCCTTTCCATACACTTTTCAGATTTTTGTTAAGTCTCACAAGAGTGAAAAGCAGAAATCCTCCAGGCTCTCTCGCTGTGGAGGCAGCCGCAGAACCACACTATACTCACTCACTTGGACATGAAAGCTCCGCATCTTATTCTGGCATCGCTTCCCTCGGGGAAGAGCAGCTCTGGACTGTACAGCACATCCACCAACACAGAGAACTCAGCCTGCATCATTGGGCTGAACTGCTGCTCCAAGGAGGCCACTACATCCTGAAACACAAAGCACCAGGGAAGACCTCGGTCAGAGCTTGCTGTTGGAAGCTTGGGCACACCTGAACAATACCATTTGGAATTGGGATCTAGGAATTTGAGAGAAGATGGCTTATGTTTTCCATGGCTTCAGCTATCTGCTTTTATAGTCTAGTTTTATGTGGAAATATTGCCTAGATCTCTCCTCTGTTTTTGATTTAGTTTTTTTTTTCTTTTTTTTTTTTTTTCTATCTGTAGTGTAAGATAAAGGAAGGGTGGATAACTGTATGATTTCTAAGGAGGTAAGAGGAAACTTCAGTAAAGCCACTGCAAAAACTGCGGTGTCTATGATTGTAACAGAAACACAATCTCTTAGCTAATTTTCTGAGACAAAATACTTGACAGCAAAAATTAAGGAAGAAAAAGCTTATTTAGCTCACAGGATGTGGAGGTTCCCGTCCATATTCAGCTGGCTCCCAGGCAGGGTGGTGTGGTACAGGACCACAGTTCAAGGTGGCAGAAGACAAGAGCAAACGAGAAATCAAGCCTCTTTTCCTCTTACACCAAGCAGGCTACCAGCCCCAGGGCAGGTGGTGTAGCACTCACACCATCTCGGGTCCTCCTCTTGCACAGGATGAGGATGCTTACCAACTGAGGACCCTGGCACCCTGCTGAGCTGCTTAGTTAAATTTCTAAACTTCTCCAGTTGACACAATGCATCAACCATTACACATGACCAAATGAAGGACATTGCTGGCATACTTGGGAAACAGCTTAAAGTTTTTTTGTTTTTTTTTATTGTCTTTGGTCACCCAGAACTAATGATTTCTTCTAAAAATGTATAGATATATTACTTCAAGTGTGTTACTACTGTATAGAGTTCAATGCCATTCACTGACATTTCAAATATACGTCATGATAGACTCTTGGTCACCAACCCAACAGCATTTTTGCCCCATTCTGCAGGAAATGTGGCTTTTGAATCTGGCAGCAACATTCTCAGGGAGAAGAACCTCCTCAGCTCGATCAGCTTGATTAGTTTAAGCCAGTCATGGGCATTTCATTTGCCTCTGCTAGCACCTGGTCTCAGCATGATTGCATAAGACCGCCCCAACCAGTGAGACACCAAGCAAAGTCTTTGCACAGTGGAGAGATGCTTTCAAAACTTCTATTTTGAAGGCAGCTTAAAGGTATAAATCCAACATCTCAAGTAGCTGTCAGGTGACCTTGGGCTACCAGCCCTAAAGTGACAGCCAACAGGTAGCTGCAGCCCTGGTCTATGAAGCTGCTGAATCAGCCAACTTGGGAATAACTACCCCGGTTTCCTGCTGTGTAAATGCTTAGTCTTTGTTGTTTAAGCTACTTTTCATTGCATAATGCCAGTGAAAGCTGGAAGCATCCTAGCTGATGTATTTCTAAACTTAACTAAACACAATGATACTTCCTTGAGCAGTCTTCAATAGTTAAAGCATCCCCTTTTCATTTTTAAACTGTTGGAGACAAAAATAAATCTTCTCACATTAAGCAACAATTTATTCATCCACAGCTATGGCAGATTTTGCTAAGCAGAAAACTTCTTATTCACAGCTACAGAAGCTCCATGGGAGTTCCTACCCTCTGGAGCTCTTAAGGACAGATTGCCAGGGTGAACTTATCTCTAACCCTTTTTCTCCCTTTCAGCAAAAAATGATCCCTTCTCCTGCAATTATTCTAAATAAGCTTTCTGTAAAATCCCTGCTAACAGTTGAAAGAGACTACCAGAAGGGAATACCACAAAGGAGAAACCTAGATGTTATATCAAGATAGGAAGAGTATGCTTATCAAATATGAGATGTGGGGTCAGAGAAGTGTCACTAAAATGTACCCTTTTTATATTGTCCTTTTATTTACTGAACAAACAGCGCTATGATGTAAAGTCTGTCTTTACCTTTATCTTGATCCTGGGCCAACTATGTCATCTACGTCTTTATCGCCCCGCATGAACACTTGGGACAATGACACATGCAATCACAGGGACTCGCTGCGAGGGTTACAGGCGAGTGCCTAGAAGAGCCACTGGTGTGTTTTAAATGTGAGTAATCACTACTACAGAGCATCAGTGGGCTTGGCTCATGCCTCTGCTGCTCCAGGCGGTGATGACCTTCTAGTCTCCATCTTTCAGAGTCATTACCATGTATTGTACATACTGGTTTCTACGCTTTGAAACAATGTCTGCTCTTGAATTCTGTGACACTTTATTTTCTGCCAATGTTTGACCATTCTTTTTCCAATATCTGGTACCTCTGAGGCCTTCCCTCACCCACATCGATAATTTCTTCTGAGAGAGCCTATCCTATTCTACAATTCTAACATCCTACACTATTATTTCTACACTGACTTCTGTCCACACTTGTCCAGACTCACGTATCCAACTACCAAATTGGCATGAGGTATCTAAATAGGCATCTGAAACTTTAAATTCCCCAAAAGAAACTCCCTGGTTCCAACTCTCTCCCAACCTCCTTTTCCTAGCTCAGCAAATCTTATCACATCAAATCCAGTCATCCTTGACGCCTCTTCCCAATGCTCTACAATTCACCCACACATCCACCAAGTCCTGTTGGCACAAAACCAAACAGATCCAAAATCGGTGTACAAAATTCACTAGTATTACCTTCCTCTTAGCCAAGCCATCACCAACTTTTGCCTGAATTAATGCAAAGCAACCTAACGAAACTCACTGCTCCCATGTCTGGCCTCTGTCTGTGACAGCGGAAAATAGCAATAATACAGAGTCATTAACAGGAATCCAAAACAACTTTTTTGTGTGTGTATGGCCAGTTCAGCCTGCCCTGGGGGTGGAGGTGGTGCGGTATGTGGTACCGGATTGAACCACGGACCCTGTGGTTATCTACGCTTACATAAGCAGGAGCTTAAGACCACTGAGCTATCTCACTGGCCCCCAAAGCAACTTTTACCTCTAAGATACATATTCTCAAAAGCTAATGGTAAGGACTTGTAAAGTGAAGCTTGGCCCCATTAAGGATTTGGCATTTTCAAACATAATTTCCTCAGGAAACACACATTCTTAATTAAAACAGGAACTTAGAAAATATTAAGTAGGGGGCTGGGGAGATGG